GCGTTGAACTCTTGATTTTGGCTTAGGTATTGATCTCGGGGTTGTGGGATCAAGCCCCATGTTGGGCTCTATGCTTAGCGGGGAGTCTGCTTGAGATTCTCTCCCTCTCCTCTCCCTCTGCCCTTCCTCCCACTCACACAAGTGCATGCTCTCTCTCTCTCTAAAATAAATAAATAAATCTTAAATAACATAAATCACTTCACTGATTACTTATTAATTACAAAGGAAAAAGGGTGCCTTTACAATATAAATCTAGTAGATACTACTTTATTCAAATGATCAAATTTATATCAATAATGAAACTGACATCTGGTGCCTCTGATGGGATACACTGAGACCTAAAATCCACTGCACAGCATTCCAACCAAAAATGTTTAACCTGAATCTGATCATGCAGAAACATTCAGACAAATCCAAATTGAGCGGCATCCTACAAAACAACTGGTCTGGATACTTACGGTCATGAGAGACACCCTCCGCCCCGCCCCCTCCAAAAGGCTGGAAAACCAGTCCAGATTCAAGCAGGTAACTAAAAGCAATGCAAGCTCCTTAAATTAATCTTGGGTCAAACACAAAACCAAATATCTAAGGACAGTATTAGGACAACTGGGGAAATTTGAATAGGTACTCTGCGTTAAAGAATAATATTATATCCACGTTAAATTTCTTGAGGGTGACAACTAAACTGCAAATATGCAGAAGAAAGTGTTTGTTCTTGGGAAATACATACCCGTATTTAGAGAGTAAAGTGTCCTGATGGTATCTATACCTAACTCCCCATAGGGTTCAGCAAAAAATGTGTCTACTAGTGCATAAAGCAAGCACAGCAAAATGTTAACAACTATGGAATCTAGACGAGAAGTACAAAGGTATCATTATACTACTGTTGCAACTCTTCTGTAGGCTTACAATTTTTCAAAGAGTTGGGAAACAATACTTAAAATTTATGGAGGGGGGGAGGGTGCCTGCTGGCTCAGTCACAGGAGCATGCAACTCCTGATCTCGGGGTCGAGAGTTCAAGCCCTACGTGGGTGTAGAAATTACTTTAAAAAAAAAAGTTATGGATTTAAAACAACAAAATCAACAGAAAATAGGGAAAGGTGCAAAGATGACTTAGCACTTGTATTCTGCCTTCCAGAATTAACTGTTAACATCATCATAGTTGCTTTTAGTCTTTAAAGAAAACTTACGGTGTCATCCCCTTTGCACCACCTCCACCCATTCTTAGAGCCCTCTAGAAGCTGCAAAATTATGAGGTAAGGTATGCCCATTTTCAACTTTACTAAATAACTGCAAATGTTGTCCCTCAAGGCAGCTGTACCAATTTAAACTCCTACATCGTTTAGAATCTGTCCTACATAGAAACTGTCCCACCGCAGTTTCTAAATTACCATTTTCAGAAACATCTTCACTCACTTTGATACTGTCAGACATTAAAATTTTTTTATCAATCTGATGTGAAAAATTCAGTGTCATTTATACCAACCTAGGATCACAAAGTAAAAGAACCTTAGCAAAGTAAGAACTTCATCTACAAACCCTTCCTTTTATCACATCATTGTAGAACGTTCAGGATAATCAAACCCACATGGCAGCAAGTACTAAGAATGATTAGTCCCCACATGAAACCAAATGCCCACAAAAGCACTGCATAATGTTTGGGAAATAATCTGTCTTTTAAAAAACGTAAGATGAGGGCGCCTGGGTGGCTCAGTCGGTTGAGCGACTGCCTTCGGTTCAGGTCATGATCCCAGGGTCCTGGGATCGAGCCCCACATCGGGCTCCCTGCTCTGCGGGGAGCCTGCTTCTCCCTCTCCCACTCCCCCTGCTTGTGTTCCCTCTCTCGCTGTGTCTCTCTCTGTCAAATAAATAAATAAAATCTTTAAAAAAAAAAAAAAAGCAAGATGAAAAGGTTCAAATTCAACCCAGCAAACATAATACTATTTGTAAGATTTTAAAAAAAGAGATATTTTATTCCTAGAAATAAATAACCTAGCTCTTATAAATTAACTCATTTACTCATTCATCAAGTATTTACTGAGTACCTGTTATGTGCCAGCCACTATTCTAGCATTGTGGCAAAGACAAAGTCCCTATTCTCACAGAGCTAACATTCTAATGGGGAGACAAAAATTTACAAGACTAGTATACAAATAATATGATATCAGATAGATACATGCTATTAAAAAAATAAAGGGCAGGGACAAAGAATGACAAAGGAGACAGCGTAAGGACAAAGTACCAGGCAATATCTCTCCAAGGCAGTGATTTTTGTCATATGGTGTGTTCAATTCAACATAAACTATTTCAGCACCAATATCTTTTCACAAAATACTCTTTTTCACTTTTCCATACTCCCCTATATTTTTCCCAGAAAAAAAAAGTTTGCTGTAGTGGTTTTTCCACTATTGCTATTTTTTTAGAGGGGAAAAAAAAAATCACGACAGGTGCTTTACAAACAGTTGCAAATTTCAAGTCCCATATACTCTAAAAAAATGTTAACTGGGGCGCCTGGGTGGCTCAGTCATTAAGCGTCTGCCTTCAGCTCAGGCCGTGGTCCCAGGGTGTGGCTCAGCGGGAAGCCTGCTTCTCCCTCTCCCTCTCCCCCTGCTTGTATTCCCTCTTTCACTGTCTCTCTCTCTGTCAAATAAATAAATAAAATCTTTAAAAAAAAAAGTTAACTGTGATCTGTCAGTGAGAAGTCTGATGCCAAAATAAAACTGAACTGTAAGAATTTAAAATGGAATTTTGAGAAAATGATTTACTAATTCTCCCAACTCTATCACCTGCACGTTTACTTTCTATCATATATGAAAAGAATAATAGCAATAGGAAAATATATCTGAAGAAAGATCCTGTGGTTTTTACTTAAGGACAAAAATATTAGAATTTTGGGGCACCTGGGTGGCTCCGTTGGTTAAGCGTCTGCCTTGGGCTCAGATCATGATCCAAGGTCCTGGAATCGAGCCCCACATGGAACCCCACCTCCGCCTGACTCCCTGCTCAGCAGGAAGTCTGCTTCTCCCTCTGCCCCTTCCCCCCCACTCATTCTCTCTCTCTCAGATGAATAAATTCTTTGAAAAAAAAAAAAAAAGAATATCCCCCTCTTTAAAAGCCACACTACCTACATGATTTAAAGAAAACCAGCACGCACTAAAATTTCCTTTCACAGGCTTACACAAGAGCTTAGAAGGCTTCAACCACTTAGAACTAGGCGGTGCCTTACTACAAAAATCTAAGGGCCAAATATTCACTTCCCTTTTTTCCTCAGATTATTTTGCTGATTCTCCTGAATGAAGTATCTGCTGTCTATCTTTCAAAATTATTACTCTGACCCAGCCAAAACGTCTTTTACTTCTCTGTGTACAAAATTCCCTTTCATCTATACTATAATCCTATTTGCCTTGTCTTTTCTTAAAAAATAAATAAATAAAAAGATCCAAATATCCTTCCAGGCTGACTTATGGATCCCCAAATACTTCTACCTCAGGAGTTCTTAATCTTTTTGCACCATGGATCTTTTTGGTAGTCTGGTGAAGCCTACGGACTCTCTCTCAGATAGATTTTTATTTTTATTTTTATTTTCTTGATTGTAATCTTGACACCCAACGTGGGGCTGGAGCTCACGACACTGAGATCAAGAGTCGCACACACTACCAACTGAGCCAACCAGGCGCCCCTCAGATTGCTTTTAAATACATAATTAAACATATGAAATTATGAAAGAAACCAATTATACAGAACTGTTACTTAAATATAGTGATTTGGTAATATATGTGCAGCTTTATCATCACATTAAATAACAAGATCTGTGTGTTTAATAATGCAATAAATTCAAAAAAATTATAAGCATAAGTGATATTCTGAGATATATGCAAAAACTGTAAACATGATATAAAAATATTTGTAATTTTTATTGGTGACAAAGTCACAGGCATTGCTAATTCCACTGTGGTTTGTTGCCTGCATTCATAATTGAAGGAACGAATAAATTAGTTACCAGATAATAAAAATAGATGTGATTTTATCCCCATTCTAGTTCAAAAATCCCCTATATTCTGTCCACCAACTGGTGAATTCCCAGGTTAAAATACTTTCTAGTTCAAAGCTGTGCTCAAACTGACTTCTGTCACAAATTTTAAAATAAAAACAATGATTCCTCCTCCTTTGGCCTAGCTCTCATCTGAACATATCACCATGCCTGTTTTTCCAGACCTATACACAGAACACTGTTTATTTCTATGGTTTGCCTAGCCAGCACCCATTTAAATTTGACAGTCAATAAAAGGTGAAGTTGAAGGAAAGGAGATGGAAGCAACCAACAGTCCCTCACTTCCAAGACATCAACAGCAAGTGGAAAGATGCCAAGTATACTGTGTGTGTGTGTTTTTCCAAGGTGGGCTGCCCCCAGACCCATGAGTCCAGCTTGTCAAGAGTCCCCGAAGCATGACATCTTCACCAGCGACACTCAGAAGATATTCCACCTCCTTCTCGCCTCCTATGCTCAGTTCTCCACCTGCCAGGTCGCTCGCCTGGGGCCCCCACCCGAAGCCGCCCCGCCGTTCCCGGTCCCTTCCCCCCGCTCCCGTCTGCCCCCGGCCGCCCTGGCCCCTGGGCGCCGCCACATCTGTCCCCTGGGCCTAACCGTGTGTCCCCCTACCCCCACTTCTACCGACACGGGAGGGAAGGGCGCAGGGGGTCAGCTGGACTGGGTGGCCCGGCCATTAGGCGCAGGCTGCGGCCCTAGGCCAGACCAGCCCGGCCGCCAGGCAGCGAGCCGCGCACTTCGCGCGAGTTAACCGGAGACGCGCACTCACCACCGGGATCACACGGAGGAAGGCACCCAGGTCTCCGCCGCACCGCCACTCGGCCTCGGAGCCGTCACCCTCGTCGCGCACTGCCACCACCGCCGCCGCCGCCGCCACTACTCGCTAGCTGGCTTTCCTGCGTCCTGCGGCGGCGCTGCCGCCACGCCATCGCGCGTGCGCGGCGCCGCGGGGGCCCCTGGGACTGGTGGTTCGCGCGGGCGGCCAGAGCGGTCCTTCCGCTTCAGCCCGCCCAGTCGGCCACCGACGGGAGCGGTCGTGGGCGTGTGCGGTACGGCGAAGCGCCTTCCGGAAAATTGTTCCTCATCAGACGCGCGACCTCGCTTCCGCGTACGGTGCTGCCGGGTGTGAAAAACACTCCTGTGCAAGTACGTGTAAAGTGAAAGATTCAGCGCATTAGCATCTTCGGTAACAAGTGTCACTTGCCCAGGACACATCACTCGACTCACACGCACGCGCACGCACAGACACACCACCCCTCCCTTTCTGTTAAAAGTTTCGCAAGTTGCCTTCAGGGGTATCTGGATTTTCAGTTTTAAACCTGATTTCCCAGTCCTCGTTTTATCTTACTTACTGTAAATTTGACCATACAGTTTTTTAAGCTGACTGATTTATCTGATAAAATTTTATTTTACAAAAATAACTCAGGTATATTCCAATGTCAAGTTAACGGAGCTGAATAGTCATAGAAACTTCAGAATTGGAAGACACCTTAAAGGTCGTTAGTCCAACTCCGGCCCAGGCAGGAATTCTCTCTTGTATCTTCCAGCCAGATGGTCTTCCAACCTTTTTTTTTTTTTTTTTTAAAGATTTTATTCATTTGAGAGCGAGCGAGCAGGAGCAGAGGGAAAAGCCGACTCCCCGCTGAGCCAGGAGCCCGACGACATGGGGCTCCATCCCAGGACCCGGAGATCACGACCCCAGTGGAAGGCAGACGCTTAACCGTCTGAGCCACCCAGGTGCCCCCGTCTTCCAACTTATATTTCCACAGTTCGAATTTCAGGGAGCTCACTATCTTAAGTGAGATAGCCCGCTCCACTGTTGGACAGCTCTGAAGGTTAGAAAATTCTACCTTCGGTGAAATCGGCTTCCCTTTACTTCCTTCCAGTGCTATAAGTTCTGATGCCTGGAGCAATATAAAATGTTTTCCATTTGACAGCCTTTCAAAAAATTGAAAACAACGATTACAACCTCCAACACTGGGAGTCTCCAGGCCAAAAAAAAAAAAAAAAAGTAACATTCAGTTTTCCAACTATTTCAAATGTGAATCAACTCCCACGTTTTTTTCCATTTAGTCATTCTCCTTGATGTATTACCCTTAAAAATAAATAAAAATATATTTTTTAATTTCAATGCTAAAAGCTAACTGAACCATTACATTCACTACATTTCTTTTCTAAAATTCACTTTCAATCAAACAAGTAATACAGAAATTCATTCTTGGCCTTAAAAATTGGCCAAAAAATTGTATTGTATACAATACAAATAAGTCAAAAAAAATCCCCTCAATTCCCATCCAATTCCACCCAAAGGGAGCCACTCTTGTCAATGATAGGGGGGGACATAATATCTAGATTGGGGGGACATAAATAGGATCACGTTGTACATACCATTCTGTTCTTTTCGTTTAAAAATAAATCCTGAGTTTCATTCCATATCAATACATAAAAATCTACCTCAGTTTTGAAACTTTGCATAGTATATCCATAGTATCACCTACCATAGTTGATTTAGCATCCCCTATCGATTTTGACATTTAGGTTGACTTTACATTCTGAATAACAAAAAATACATGTGAATGAACAATGTTATTTTTTAACATAGTTTAAAAAAATTTTTTTTTAAAGATTTTATTTATTTGAGAGAGAGAGATAGCGAGAGCAGGAACACAAGCAGGGGGCGTGGGAGAGGGAGTAGCAGGCTTCCCGCCGAGCAGGGAGCCCGATGCGGGGCTCGATCCCAGGACCGTGGGATCATGACCTGAGCCGAAGGCAGATGCTTAACGACTGAGCCACCCAGGCGCCCTAGTTTAAAAAAATTTTTTAAAGCTCTGGCAATCTGTAAACAACAAAAAAATTTAGAAACACATGGATGGAAGCTCTTCTACACAGGTGGCAGATAGTATTTCTTTATAAAATGCTTTTGCCCTTTGGAACAGCCCAGTTGCAAGCAAAGGACAAGACTACAGTCATAACCTTACTCCATGTTCTGGGCCCTAGGTTGTCTTACACTGGCTCCTACTGGCAGGCTCAGAAATAGTAGCAGTACTCAGAGATGGATTTACTATGAAGCTGATGGAGCTTATGATTTAGGGCCCCTCACTTGCCTGGGGATTCTTCCAAGGCCCAAGCAATTCAGTCAATATGGTTTTGCAACATTTGCCAAAGAATTTTTAATTATTGGCTCAGTTGAGGGCACAGATAAAAGCCCAAAACTTGAGAATACTGAAAATGAGGAAAAAGACGCCTATAGAACAGTCATAAATTATGCAACTTGCACTTCTGCACAGTGAAATCTACTATAAACCTTATCCTTCTAGGGTGTCTTGGTGGCTCAGTTGGTTAAGTGTTCGACTCTTGATCTCAGCTTAGGTCTTGATCTCAGGGTCATGAGTTCAAGCCTTGTGTCGGGTTTCACACTAGGTGTGGAGCCTACCTAAAACAAAACAAAGCAAAACAAACAAAAAAAACCTCCCCTTATCTTTCTATCAGTATCAGGGATGTCCAGACTGATGGGAGCTGTCATGTTAACGCAAAATCAAATTTTGGTACATTACCTGTATTTGTCTTATTTTATTTTTTTACCTGTATTTGTTTTAACCTATGACTATAACATATGAAATAACTTTAATGTAATTATACCTTTTTTCCAAGATTTTATTCATTCACTTGAGAAAGTGAAAGCAAGGGAGGTCACAGAGGGAGAAGCAGACTCGCCGCTAAGTGGAGAGCCGGACATGGGGCTCAATCCCAGGACCCTGAGATCATGACCTGAGCTGAAGGCAGACCCTTAACCGACTGAGCCACCCAGGCACCCCAATGTAGTTGTATCTTAAACATATTTCACTGACCTTTTTTGTTCTCTTGTATTACTTTTATTTTTTTTTAAGTATTTTGGAATTTATTGATTTGTATTTAAACTGTTGACAAAGATTCACCAGAAATAATCTGAACAAGCAGAAAAATAGTTAATACTGAAACACTAAAATAATTCAAGGACACATGGCTTATCCAACAAAACAATACCTCTTAAACGCTGTCATCGATACAAAAACTGACTGCTTCTTACTTTTCTAAACACAGTGGCATAATTAACAATATTCAATCATTTGGTTTTTCCTGAATATGTAAAAATTAAAATGCCAATTAAAAATTAATATATCTTCTCTTTAAATGTTTTCTACAAATACAATTTCAATATTTTCATTCAACAGTGGTGTGGTTTAAGAGATTCTTCATTCACAAGTCAAACAACAATCCACCCAAAGGGAACTGATAGTCTATAGGCTCATAGTGCAAATAAAGACTTTAGGAATGCAGTGAATGACATTTCTAACAAACATACCAAACAAATAAAATTCTTAGAAGATACAGGCAAGAAGCCCCTCTAAGCAGCTGGCCACAGAACTAGAACATTTGATCATTTTACTAGTGATTTCAATGGGACTCTAGATGTTTCCAAATTCAACTTGAACTCTCATCTTGGGCTTTGTATTTTGCTTTTCCAGTTTCACTAATGACACAAACATGATTCAAATCCCTGAAATATTCATTATAGTCAAGGGCATATCCTACAACAAACTTGTCTGGAATTTCAAATCCAACAAAATCTGGTCTGTATCCAATACTTTGAGGAGTCCTTTTCACCAGCAAACTTGCAACCTTGACCATCTTTGGATTATACTGCTGGACCAAGGAAAGCAAGGTTTGCATTGTTTTGCCTGTTTCAATTATATCTTCAACAATCAAGACATTCTTTCCAGTTAAAGTTGAGAGATCATCTCCACCAATTACTTTTATGTCCCTTGTGGACTGGTCATTACAGCTTTTCAGTCTAATGAAGTCTACAGCCATAGGAATAGATCTATCACTATTTCTGTTCAGTGCTTTAATGTAATCCAGCAGATCAGCAAAGAATTTATAGCCCCCCTTGAGCACACAGAGGGCTACGATGTGATGGCTTCCCATCTCCTTCATCACATCTCGTGCAAGCCGTTCCGTCCTGTCCATAATTAATCCATGAGGAATAAACACCTTTTCCAAATCCTGAGCATAATGATTAGGTATACAAAATAAATCTAGGTCATAACCTGGTTCATCATCACTAATCACAATGCTGGGGCTTCGCGTTGCCATAACGGAGCTGGCTGGTGCGTGGACGGAGGGCAGTTCTCTTCTGTATTACTTTTAGTTTTAAGTTCTTAAAGGCTTTTCAAGCTCAGTAAATTCCTGATAGATAAACAGGGATTTTTTTTTTAAATAACAAGAAAATGTAGACAAAAAAGTAACATACTTACAATTTACTCTTTTAAAAACATAGATATCAACAATTTTAATAGCTACATGTTTCATCATCTTGAAGTAACATAACTTATCATTTCAAAACAGAAAATTGTTCATTCTTGCTATTAAATACTAAATTCATGCAATTTTTTAAAAATTCTAGAATACAGAAATTGAGATTTAAGACTTTGTAAAGCATATTTAAAAATAATGGTATAGTATTTTTTTTTAAAGATTTTATTTATTTATTTGAGAGAGAATGAGAGACAGAGAGCACGAGAGGGAAGAGGGTCAGAGGGAGAAGCAGACCCCCCGCCGAGCAGGGAGCCCGATGCGGGACTCGATCCCAGGACTCCAGGATCATGACCTGAGCCGAAGGCAGTTGCCCAACCAACTGAGCCACCCAGGCGCCCCAATAATGGTATAGTATTATCATACTGTTAAGTAACTTACTTTTCTTACTTAACAATATGTAATAGGTTTGTTCTGCCAACTTGACAAGCTAATTCTAAAATTTGTATGGAAATACAAGTACCAAGAATAGCAAGACACTCCTGAAGGTGGAAGGACATGTTCTACTGGATATCAAGCTATAGTAATTAAGATGGAAGTTAATATGATAAATGGTAAAAATCTAAAGACTGTAACAATAAAGAAAAGTTAACTTTTTTATGGAAGAGGGATATAGGGTCAGCTGGGGTGAAAAAGTGAGGACTTCTTGGTGCTGACAACATTCTTTTTTTTTTTTTTTTTTTAAGATTTTATTTATTTATTTGAGAGAGAGAATGAGACAGCATGAGGGGGGAGGATCAGAGGGAGAAGCAGACCCCCCGCCGAGCAGGGAGTCCGATGCGGGACTCGATCCCAGGACTCCAGGATCATGACCCGAGCCGAAGGCAGTCGCCCAACCAACTGAGCCACCCAGGCGCCCCGACAACATTCTTTTTCTTGATTTGGATATTGAACACCTAGGGATTTATTTTATGATTATTCATTAAACCGTACACTTGCATTTTATGTACTTTTCTGTATTCACATTGCAATTTATAATAAAAAGATTTTAAGATATGTAAAACATCCAGCACATAGTAAATATTCAGGTAAGTGTAGCTACTATAGACATTTAAAAAAAAAAAAGAGGCAGTGGATTTGTGACAATCTCCAAGAAATATAGCTAACTGGATGGAAGCAGAACCATGCATGTAGCATGCTCCATCACTAGTTTTAAAACAGGGATACACACACACTGCATATGAATATGAATAAAACCTCTCTAGGCTACACAAGAAAGTGGTGACCGTGGTTATCTTTACCAGTGTAGAGGAATAAGGCTGGGGGTAGGGTGGCAGGCCGATTTATTTTCATTGTATATTGTACCCTTTGGATTTTATACCATGTACATATATTTCCTACTTTATTTTTAGGCATTTATTTCTTTAAGTAACCTCTACACCTAATGTGGGGCTCAAACTCACGACCCCAAGATCAAGAGTTGCACACTCCTCTGATTAAGCCAGGCAGGCGCCCCTATATTTCCTATTTTAAAAATTTAGAGATTTAGGGCGCCTGTGGCTCAGTTGGTTGAGCGATTGCCTTCAGCTCAGGTCATGATCCTGGAGTCCTGGGATCAAGTCCCACATCAGGCTCCCTGCTCAGCAGGGAGTCTGCTTCTCCCTCTGACCCTCCCCCCTCTCATGTGCGCCCTCTCTCTCTCTCTCTCTCAAATAAATAAATAAAATCTTTAAAAAAAAATTTAGAGATTTAGGATACATATTATCACTCAAATTCTATAGAGGTAGCTCTTTATAATTAGTAGCTTATTTTACTTCAATGGAAAATTTAAAACAGAAGAAAAATTAAAACGTTTTCTGCATAAAACTAAAATGCTTTTCAATTAATCAAATACAGGGGCGCCTGGGTGGCTCAGTCTGTTAAGCGTCTGCCTTCCACTCAGGTCACGATCCAGGGGTCCTGGGATCAAACCCCACGTTGGGCTCCCTGTCCAGTGGAGAGTCTGCTTCTCCCTCTGCCTTTCCCCCTGCTTGTGCTCTCTCTCAAATAAATAAAAATCTTAAAAAAAAAAATTAAAAATTGTTTAAAAATCATAAAATACCTTTATCATAACAGCCTTGTGAGGAGGCAAAATTATATGTATTTTACAGGCTAGTAAACAGAACCTCAGAGAGATTGACTTGCCCTAAATCATTGCTAGCTTAGTGACAGAACTAGAACTCTAGTTTTTATGCTTCCAAACCCCATGGGCTTTTCTATCATACTATCTGACACAGCATGCCCTCCTAAATGCCTCCCACCGGGGCAGGCAGTGGGGGAGGAAAGAATAGAAGATGCTCTACTTGTAACTTTTCATTTGTCTGTGGGGAAGGTTCCCTATTATAAAATTCACTTTTAAAAAGTCAAGACAGGAGCGCCTGGGTGGCTCAGTAGATTAAGCCGTCTGCCTTCAGCTCAGGTCATGATCCCAGGGTCCTGAGAGAGCCCCACATTGGGCTCTCTGATCAGTGGGGAGCCCACTTCTCCTTCTATCTCTGCAGCTCCCCCACTTTTGCTCACTCTCTCTGTCAAATAAATAAATAAAATCTTTTATTTTTTTAATAAATAAAATCTTTTTTAAAAAAGTCAAGACAAGGGCGCCTGGGTGGCTCAGTTGGTTAAGCGACTGCCTTCGGCTCAGGTCATGATCCTGGAGTCCTGGGATCGAGTCCCACATCGGACTCCCTGCTCAGTGGGGGGTCTGCTTCCCCACCCTCTGCTCTCTTCCCTCTCGTGCTCTCTCTCTTTCTCTCTCTCTCTCAAATAAATAAATAAAATCTTTAAAAAAAAAAAAGTCAAGACAAAGAAAACTAATTGCATAGCACATTGCACTTTCAAAAGCACACACACACACACACAAAGGCTACATGATTTATACCTAGTATTGTTCCTGGCTCAGGTGTCAGGGAGATACTTTTTACTCTTCAGTTGTTTAATAAAGGTTAAGGCCTAGTCTCTCTTTTCTTTTCTTTTTTTTTTAAGATTTTATTTTTTTAAAGTAATCTCTACACCCAGTGTGGGACTCAAACTTACAACCCCAGGATCAAGAGCCGCATGCTCTACTGACTGAGCCAGCCAGGTACCCCTACAATCAGAGTTTTCTTGAAGTAAATGCTCTAAGAAAAGGGAGGGTCAGGGGTCCAAGGGCTCAGTCTCTTAATACAAAAGACATCTACGTAGCCAATAGAAGACAGTAATTAGAACATTTAAAAAAATATTTCCAATAATCTGTCAAATTCAACATAATCACCAAACATTACTTTCCATTGAAAGAAATCTTGAAAATTGACTCAAGAGATGGTTTTCTTGAAGAGCTTCTAAAATTTCTTCTCATAGTATATTCACATGATTTATAGCATTCCTATTATCCTACAACTTCCCACACACTTTTCTTATCTCCCACACAGTATCTTATCTAATCCTGGAAATAAGCCTACTAAAACCAACAGGACAGAAATCCCTGACATTCAATACATGAAAAAATTGAGGCTCTGGTAGGTTTTTCTCCC